ATAGAAATATGCAACTTTGTATGCTCTTTCCAGCTAGTAGTATGAGAACGCTTGATAGGACCAGATAAGGTCAGATTTCGCTCTTCTGGCACCCCTAAAAACGCTTCAATTCAGAACTTATGGCCGAGGAAAAACCGTGTTCGGAATAATTTTTCCATGGGCCGACAGTGGTCTTTCCATACCTTTAGTAGGACTATCAATTGCATATAATCAGACCTTCCCGGCTTTAAGTCGTGTATAAAGTGGGCGGACCTGTGCGGAAGTACCCCACATTCAATAGGTCCTATTTTTGCGGACGGCAATAACAATGATGAATGGATTTATAATCAGGAAACAATTACAACAGATAGTGAAACTAATAAAATATTCGCTAGTGCATTAGATAATATTGTAGCGGATCGAGGATATAGTAGATGTATTGGGCCATTTATATTCGTAACACCATTATCTATTAGAAAAAGAGAAAAACAATTGTCACATTCGTCCGCAAACCAAACACGTTGCATAACAATTGTTAGAAATGCTATTGAACGTGGTTTTGCCCGAATAAAAAATTTTAAATTATTAGCTAACACTATTGACACAAACTACCTTCCTATTCTACATGATATATTTCAAATAATATTAGCAATAGACAATTGTTTTTATCCACCATTAATTAACAATGCCGAAAGGATAAACAAAGATGTTGAACGGATCATTCAAAGATTAGATTTAGAAAATGACATAGACGATGAGGAAGCCAATACATCCTGAGATTGGACACAACTTAGTATCAATCACTTAATAGATGAATATTTTTTTCCACCATTATCAGAACCAATTATTAGAAATTGGTGCGCATCAGTGTATGCTTTTGAATTATCAGAACAATATCTACAACAAATGACAACCGACATGAAAATAATGAAACATATTAAATATCCAAACACCATCAGGTGTCATAATGTTATAAGTAGATTTGCATCTGTTGATTCTATAAATCCAAGAAAACATATCGTGTACATTCGCCGTGGTGAAAATGAAGCTTCTAACAACAATTTATTAAATAATTTCCTTACATATTGTGATTGTAAACAAGGTTGTCGCACTTCCAGTCCATGTGTACATGCCGTAGCATGTTTTAGATTCTTTATGTTAAAAAGCAACATAAGGACATATCTGTTTAAGCGCTCAATTAAGTACATATATTAATGATGTGACAACATGGAAATATGAATATCAAAATACAGATGATGACGATTTAGAGTCAGTCAATGACAGTAATATCGATGATGGTGATTCACGAGATGATAATAACATGTACTCCAATGAGTCAGACCGCGAGGTTTCTAGTATGAAGAATGATTAAGAAGAATGCTTCAAACAGCAAATCAACGTTCGAAAAACAACATGAAGACATAAAAGTTTTAGTGCTGTTTATGGATTTTTTGTCATTTATATGTGTATTTTGTATAAACCTCTTTTCGCTAGTCACAATAAATGCTTTTATAATCAAGAAATAAGGTTCTTTTTTTGCTATTGTGTGATTTTTTTTCAATAGCTTGCCCCTACGTATAGTACATGAGCAAAGCCTTTGCACATGCTTGACACACTTGGTAATTTGCACATTAAGTTTAGTACACTTTTTGAATGAATCTTTCACAGAAAAGGCATTTGCCCTCCCATACCTCCCGAAAAAACTGCATTTTTTCAAAGTTAAGGCTTCGTAACTTCATAAGGGGATGAGCTAGATGAAACTTGGTGTGTAAGTAGTACACTGCAAGAGGAGTGAAATAACAAAAAATTGTTAAAATCGGTTCATACGAGCAGGAGTTATAGGTGAAATACTGCCAACATCAATTCTACAAAAAAGTTGCATTTCACTTCAATAATGATTTGGTCTAAAATATTATTTGGGCATCCTTTCAAGATTTAAAAATAGTTGTATTCCATCACACTCAACATGCGCTATCTTTTGAATATAGATTGGTTGCTTACCCGGAACTAGTGAAAACCGATCGTGTCCCTTATTGATTGTGACAGTAACTGCAATAAGGGACATGATCGGTTTTGATTTCGGAAGCCCTAGTTGCGAGGATACGCACCTCAAAACCTTGCCACAGATTCTGACTACGCAAGCATATCTCATAAAAACTGTTTCAACAAAAGTTGTTTCTCATGAAACTTCACGTGGAATAAGCTCAACAGTTGTTTTCTTCTAATCACAAAAACTTTAAAAAACCTATGTCTTTCAAAAACTTTCCAAACTTTTTAAAGCATACTATCTACAACGTTCGCTTATCAGGGGTGTCAGAATATCACTACGCAGTATTTTCTCAAAAGAGACTGTTTTTTTCAAACTTGTTGGACTTCCTGGGCTCGGTGCATTCTCGTGCATTCCCACTAAGGATACACCAAGCCCAGCATGTGTCTTCTCACTGACAATACACGAGAATACACCAGAATGCACAAATATATAAATCTTTAAAAAATGTGCCAAGCGAGCCCATCACTAGAGCCCATCGGGTCCGACCCGACTGGGTCCGGGTCTGAAAATTCTGAATTCATCGGGTCCGGGTTCGAAGATTTTGAATTCAACGGGTCCGGATCCGGGTCCGGGTTCGAGTCTATAAATTTTTATTAGCCAGAAAAAAATCCACCATAAAAAATAATTCCATTATTTTTATTTTCGTTTATTTCTGTTCTTTTTATTCAAAAAATGTTTAGCAATCAACTCATGATCTTTTTTTAGATTTTTGTATACATATTTTATTAAGTAAAACAAAGAGAACGACTACTGTAATATAAAATAGTTGTTATACAAAAGAAATAATGAAACTTTTCTAAATACATTTGTATTCTTCGACAGAAACTAATACGAACGAATTTGATTTAATTATTATAAAATCGCTATCGGACTATCGGATGACTGAAAGAATATGTAGAATATGTTACTTGCCGAACATAAAAAATGAAAAAAAAGGATATCGTATCTTTGGATCGATTATCAAATCCGAACTAGAATTTTGCATTATAGATCTCAAATGAGTGATTCGGGCACGATCCACAAAGAATTAATTATTGGGAATTTTGTTTGAGC